AGTTAAATTAAGAGATCTGTTAGTTCTGCAGTGTTCACAGGAGGCTTTTGGAAAAGCTGCTGAATGCTGGGGGCATGATTCAAGTGGTAGAGCTGTCCCAAGTAAGCATTAGGCCCTGTGTTCAAGCCCCAGGACAGCATTAAAAAATTTAAAATATTACTGGATGCCTGTGGCTCATGCCTGTAATCCTAGCTATTTGGGAGGCTGAGATTGGGAGGATCGAAGTTTGAGGGAAGCTTCAGCAAAGAGTTTGCAAAACCATATCTCCAAAATAAACAGACCACAATGGACTAGAGGTGAGGCTCAAGAGGTACAGCACCTGCTTTGCAAGTGTGAAACCCTGAGTTCAAACCCCAGTCCCACCAAAATAATAATAAAAAGGGAAAGGAAAAAGCTGCTGTAGTAATTCTGATCTAAGATGGAATAAGCTTTGAATTCAATACTCACTTCCTTGTCAATGATTTCTTCTTCTTTGTCCCACTGGACCTGGGCTCCCACGGCTGAGGGACCTCACTCTCCAAGGCTCACTCTTTGGCCCTGGGCCTCAAAATGTAATGTTTTGGGGGCTAGAGGTATGGCTCAGTGGTGCAGTGCTTGCCTAGGAAGCATGAGGTCCTGAGTCCAAACCCCATTTGTGCAAAAAAAAAGTAATATATTTTTAGATTTGATTTTGCTGGATTACTCTGTAAAATGCCATGATAGTTACATTTCTGTAGAAATATTTGAGAGCCCTTTTCTTACCCATCATCTCTGCCAGCAACATTGTGTCATTTTAATTTTGGGCATCTGATCAGCATCAAGGAATTATTCTTAGGGTTATTTGCATTATTACAAGTGAGTTCACATATCTTTCCATGTTTATTGGCCACATGAATTTTCTCTTTATCAAATACCAATTTATATTCATTACCAAATTTCCATGGGGTTGCTTATTCCTTTCTTGTTGCTACCCACTATCTGCTCATGGAGTTGCATATACCCCCAAACTTATTGTCTATTGACATTGCTTATGTATTTTTAACATGTTAAAAATCTTTTTATAGTGCTCAAGATCAAACCCAGGGCCTCAAAATATGCTAGGAGCTGCATATGCTGAGCTATACCCCTGGACTACCAAATTTCCTTCTTAATAAGTCAAATATGCCCATTTTCTTTTAATTTCTGATTTTATAGTCGTGTGTAAGTCCCCCAACCCATATATCCAGGTAGTATATGTAGTCTTCAAGATTCAAGTTTTAATTCATTTGGAATTTAGTTTTTGGTAAATGATGTAATATTTGGTTCCAAATTTATTTTTGTCCACATGGATAGCCAGAGCTTCCATTTATAATCATTTCTCACTTTAAAAAATTTGTATTTTGATATGTTTGATAGTATATATATAGTTCATGAATAATAACATACAAATGTCAGAGCTGTGTGCTCAAAAATATTTTTAAGATGAAAAGAGTTCCTTGATTAAGAAATTTCCTTAAGCTCCTTAAACTGTGAGCTCTTTGAGGGCAAGGATTATGTTTTTCCTATCTTTGAATCCGTAGCTATGATTGGCTCTAGTAAAATGTATGTGTGCAAAAAATGATTGTTAAATAATCCAGTGAATGACATTGCCAGTGTCTGAATCATGAATCTTAAGCAACACAGCTATTGAGAAACCTGGCATTCCAGCTGTGTCCTGTTTGAAGTTATTCAAGGCTAAGAATAAGCAATGACTCATATGGTAGGTAGTATAACTTCATTAGTGTTAAGTTCAGACACTTGTAGTATGGGAATATTAATTCTTAAAACCTTAAATATTTCCCTAAGGCTTGTAATCCAGAGGTGTTTAAGAATAGTAATTATTTTTGTGTGTGTGAATACAGCCCCTGGGTTTTGCTGCCAGTCATCTTTTCTTTGCAATGGAGTTTGCAGGAAGAATTAGCCTCTTCAATATTTAAAAAAAATTATTAGGATATATTCATTATATGGTGGGGATTCATAGTGACAATTCCTATTAGACTTATATTGTACATAATTTACATTACCCCCATCAACCTCCTCCTCAGCCCCCTCCCCACCCCGCCCAAAGCAATTGCAAGAGGTATTTTTGTTCTGTTTCATACAGGTATATGAAGTCCATCAACCATATACTGTCATATTAATCTCCTTTCTTCACCCTCTCCCTTCCTACTAGTTACCCCCCCCCGCCCCTGCACACAATGTGCCTATTTTACAGTCCTGGTTTTCGTTAATATTTAAGTTGGCATTCAAAGGCATGTCTCAATGTATGCCCACTGTGAGTGTGTTTTACTTTGGTCTGTTCAATCCCTTCGAATACTCTCCTTTACTCCTTTACCTCCCACCACCCATTTTTTTTGACAGCTTTCAATACACATCCTTATAGCTCTACCTTCACATCTTATGGTATGCGATATTACTGATATGCTGTCATTCTCTTTTCCTTTCCCTCCTTCCCACAAGTTCCATAGAGTAGTTCCACTGTTACAAACATTTCTACATCTGAGTTTTGTATATGATCATGCTTGTTTTTGTTTAGATGTTTATCTTTGGATCTATCTTCCACTTATGAGAGAAAACGTGTCTTATGTGTTTCTGATCCTGGCTAACTTCACTTAACATGATGTCCTCCAATTGCATCTGTTTACCTTCAAACCCCATGTCATTATTCCTTGTGGCTGAGTAATACTCCATTGTGTATATATACCACAATTTCATGATCCATTCATCGATTGTAGGGCATCTGGGTTATTTCCACAGATTGGCTATTGTGAATAGTGCTGTGATGAACATTAGTGTACAGGTGTCTCTACTGTATCCTGTCTTATGTTCTTTTGGGTAGATGCCCAGGAGTGGTGTCACAGGGATTCAGTTCTCCCAGAAGCATTTGTTGAAGAGGCTGTCTTTTCTCCATCGTTGGTTTTGGGCTTCTTTGTCAAAGATCAGTTGGCTACAGATGCGTGGGTTTATGCCTGGATCTTCTATTCTGATCCATTGGTCCTCCTGTCTGTTTTTGTGCCAATACCACATTGTTTTTATTGTTATGGCTCTGTAGTATAGTTTGAAGTCAGGTATTATGATGCTTCCAGCATTGGACTTTTTGCTCAGAATTGCTTTGGCTATTTGAGGTCTTTTGTGTTTCCATACGTATTTCATGATTGTTTTTCTATTTCTGTGCAGAGTGTCATTGGAATTTTGACAGGATTGCACTGAACATGTAGATTGCTTTTGGTTGTATGGACATTTTCACAATGCTTATTCTACTGATCCACGAGCATGGACGGTCTTTCCATCTTCTGATGTCTTCCTCGAGTCTCTCTTCAGTGGTTTATTGTTTTCCTTAAAAAGGTCTTTGGTTTCTTTCATTAAATTTATTCCAAGGTACTTTATTGTTTTTGATAACTTCATCAATATTTTAATGGCAGAAGTATGATTATATTCAATTTTAGATTGTGAACCTCCAAAAGATAAGGACTCTGTGGAACAGTCTTCGTTGTCCGCAGTCTGGATAGTGTCACAAACTTTTGCTATTTACTAATTGGGAAAATCCTGCCTTTTCCTTTCCTAATATACAAATTAACCCTAGCAAAAGTTGCAAGTTTGCTTTCCAGGGCTGTTGAGTTATTTTCAATAAAATACTGGACAAAATTTCATTGAGTCAACTAGATGGGTGATGTTTAACCTGATTTTGCCCTTTGAACTGACTATATTTACTTTTTCTTTTTTTCACTTTCTATATTTATAATTTCCTTTCAAGCTCTCCGTTTTTTCCCCTTTGAATTCTAGCAGGTGCTCTAGTTGATTGTTCCAGAAGGCTGGTTTTCCTACCACTGGACATTATACTTCATCTCTTTCTCTTTCCTTTTATTTTTTTCTTTTAAATTGAGACTCAGTGTTCACCTGCCACCACTCCGTCTTGTGGCTTTGAGAAACCAAAACCATGTCAGGCTTGTTTTTGCTTTAGGTCAAATTGTGTGAAAGAGAGACTAGTATTTGTTTTTTACTTAGCTTTACTTTGCTCCTGTTTTTTTCTTGAGTTCATTATAATAGGATAACAGGTTGGTTTTTAAATTCATTTACAAAGTTTTGGAGATATTAGCAGGTTACAGTCCAGGATACTTATTCTTACCCACAGTTTCCCAGTTAAAAGTCTCTCAAATTCCGTCTAACTTTAATATCTGAGTTACAAAGAAGAATTCAACTGTAAAATGGCCAATGCAAAATGTGTAATTGGAATTGAATGCAAAGGATCTATTATTTTCAGTTTCACCTGTGGGATTTAGCTTACACTTTAACACAAAAATATTTTAAGGAACAAAATCCATACCGAAACAAAACCTTCAGCGATGACTATATATAAAAGAAGTACATGTATGCCTTTACTTTGACAAATAAAAGGCAATATTAACAAACATACTTCATGACGAACTTGAGAAAATTCTCTAATCAGAAGCCCCTTACAAGGGAGGGAAAAAAGCATGTTCCAATAAGAAATTACTACTTTAGCCGATCAACCAAACAAAATAATAATTTACATCCTTAGCTTTGCTAGAACAACGCAGTGAAGGCCAAGAAACAAACAAAATCCAAGGAACGCCTAATAAGGTATTAACTTACTTCACAGTAAAAATTCAAAGAAAACCTTTATTATGAAGTAAGACTCACAGAAACGGATGGTTATGTGAAACTGCTTTATTAGAACTGAAAAAGAGCTGCTACAGAAGTAACGTTCAACTCGAATCTGAACACAAGCGGAGAAGCCGACCCACCGCGTGGAACGCTGGGAACTATACTCGGCAGGCGCTTGGCTTCTCCTGGGGAATCACATTTCTTTGGTTAGTGCTTGGAGGACGGAGAGCCCTTAGGGCCAATCCAGTGTTCTGGGTTTTCATTGGATCAGTGCATTGAACACTTTTCAGCGCATTTCTCTAGTTCGCCAATAAGCACTTTAGTATAGTAACACCTTCACTGATTGGGTAGTTTTCCTTGCGTTCGACTCATTGCCAACCAATGGGAGGGCAGGACCGACATAGGTGCCAGGGTCACTCGGGGAGAGTGTGCAGAGCCTTCCCCGCCAGCGCCTTGGCTCTTGTGCTCCGTGAGTTAGGTCGGTTATTCGCGATTGCTCAGGCCCGCTGCTAACGCGGGGACTCGCTCCGCGCCGCCTGGGACCCCTACCTCAGGCGTGGCCCTGATGGTGCGGCAGGCTCTGGACTCCTAAGCCTCTGGAGCGGTATGTAGAGTCCAGAGGCGGCCGCTGGGAAGGCCGTGGGAAGTGTCCCCTGCACTGAGCCACCAGCCGGCGGGGGTGGGGGCGTCAGCTTGCCTTGCTGTCAAGATTCAGCCGTACTTCCCTCGAGGCGTTTCTAAACGCCCTGTCCTTAGGAGTCCCGTGACGGTTATCTTCCTCCCCGTCTCCCACTTCCAAACTTCAGTAGCCCTGGCGTTACTAGAAGTGGGTGTCCTCTCGTCTCTTACCTTTATCTCTTCAGGTGGTTCTTTGGTGATGCAACTTCAAGTCTCCAGAGCGATTGGTCTTGTTTGTGTTTGACTTGATTTAAGAAAGACGAGTGTTCATTCACGTCTCTGTGTTTAAAATACTGTTCTTGTCGGGCGTCTGCTGTTAGCAGCTCCGGTAATGATTCCACCCCTGCACCCGGCGGAATAGACGTCCCCACAGGATCAAGTATTGTGCTTGTTTGACGATTGCCTTGGGGATAATTTACCATCTCGCGGTTTTTCTTTTTCTTCCCCCCCCCCGCCCCCTCATCCGGACATCTGCTCCGGATTGTTGTGTGAGAAAACTGAGGCTTGGAGGAGGTAACTCTCAAAAGAGTTACAGTAAGGAGAAAGCCAGCCGTTATCTCAGTGCTTGTTTATTTTTTTTTAAACCTCTCTCGATAAGGATTTAGGTTATTGTGTACCCTGTGCAGTTCTTAGCATGTGAGTTAAATGGTGAAGCTTGGCTGGAAGTTTAATAAAATCTTTCAGTCATCTGCCAGGTGTCTCCCGTGTATCTAACGCCTTGCTCCTAGAAGTGCAATACGCAGCATAGTCCTCACCTAGAAGTTTGGAACTTTCATAATCTCAGGCCGGCTCCACCACTGAATCAGAATTGGCTTTTGGCGGGCGCGGGGCGGGGGGGCAATCCTGGGGGGTTGAACTCAGAGCCTCACATTTTACTAGGCAGGTCTCTACCACTTGAACCATTTCAACAGCAGGCATGTGCTTTTTAACAAGATCCTTTAGGTGATTAGAGTGCTCATTAAACTTTGGGGAGGGAACATTCATTGTGTTAAAATATTTTGTTTGTCCAAATTGAACTAAACAAAAAAAATAAAAGCAAGCAGTATAGCCACTGTGTTGTAATAACACTGGAATGTGGAAAGACAAGAACAGGTTTTTTTATAGTTTGTCATAGCAAATTGTGATTTTTTTTTTTTTAGAAAAATTAAAAATGTTAGCATTGGCAAATTTGGCTTAGTACCCCAGAATCTTAACATAGACATCAGTATTTAATCATAATTCAAAATTACCTTGTAAGCTGTCAGATGCTTATTTTAAAATAAAAGAAACAGACATCAGAAATGTTAAATACTTCCGCTGACATGATCTATGTACGGTCTAGTTCCCCACTATAATCTTTCCCCACAATTTTGTTATGTTTTTTAAGATATTCCAGTTAGTTTCCTTGGAAGGAAAGGGGTAGGTTTGCAACTGTTTGTGTTTTTTCCAGTTTATTAATTTGATTATCTGATAATAAAACTGAAATCTAGTGCCAAATTCATACAATCTTATATTGCTCAGTACTTAAAAGTCTATTGTAGAGTTTTAAGTATCCACAGTTTTATTCTGATGTTCATCAGTATATTAAAAGGACCTTCATTTATAGACCAACATAAAATCTTAGGGGCTCTTATTTGCACCGGAAGTCACCTGGTGTGCTTAAGTGTTGGGCCATACCTCCAAAGATTCTTCCTTAGATCTGGTGTAGGCCTAGGAATTTGTATTTAACAGTCTTAGTTTATTCTGATGTAGGCTGTGCAGGTCCACACTTCTTGGTGTTAATGTTTTCAATAAAACCACAGCTAGAAAACTTGATTGCTGTTGAGCCTAATGTGGTATTCCTTGTAGAAAAAGGTAAGAGGTTTTTTTTTTCTTTTCTATAAAAAACTTTATGGTTCATTGACTGCTGTAAAATTGCTCAAATCAGCATTTTAGGTTATTAATTTTTTTTTAAGTCAGAACTGGTGGCTCATTCCTGTAATCCTAGCACTCAGGATACTGAGGCAGAAGAATCGGGAATTTGAAGCCAGCCTGGGATACATAGTGAGACATTGTCTCAAAGATCTAAGAAAAGAAAAAATATTAAAATAAGAAAATACAAACAAACTCTTAATCATTGAGTTCTTTCCTGAAGTTTTACATAAAACCTCTAACTTGGAGGGCAAAACACAGCTTTGGCCTGCTCTTACCTTCAGTTCAGCATCATAAGAAATGTGGCACTTGACCACAGTACTGCTGGGTAGATTAGTTAAGTTCTTCCATGCCTATAGATATTCCTGACCTTTTCCTAGGTAGATCACAGTTTGAACCTTTTCCTTCTCTCTAGGCTTTGAAGGTTGGAAGTTTCAGTTATTTTGGAGTTTGTTTATCTCAAAGGAACAGGAAGATTATAGCTTTTAAAGAATCATTTCCATTGAATAGTTATCTAATGATTGATGTCTTAGGTAAGAATGGAACCCTCTAGTTTCAAGGCCTGTGTTCTATGAAAAAGCCATTACTCAGAAGTACTTGGTTCTTAGCTGTGTCTTGGCTCTTGGACCTTTGAGTCCGTAATTGGTTCTACAGCGCCATTAAAAAATAGTTTTATTATATCTTGAATATCTTGAAATAGCATACATTAATAATACGAGGGGGTTTCGTTGTCGTAACTTCATACATGTGCACAGTGTACTTTTAACAAATTCACCTCCATTATATTCCTGTTCCCTCCTTCTGCCTTTTTAATACAATGTTTGATGAGTTTCATTATGCTCTCTTTAACATATACATGTAATGTGTTTTGATCCTCTTCCTCCCCTAAGAGTCCTTTCCTTTTCCCTCCTCCACTTTTCCACCGATCCCCCCAGACTGTCCCCCTTCCTCACATTCGTGTCCTGTCATCATCATCATCATCATCATCATATTAGGTTTAGGTTTCACAAATAAGCAAGAGCATGTGATACTTGACTTTTGAGCTTGTCTTCTCTTGCTCAACATGAGGCTCTCCAGTTCTATCCATTTTCCAGCACATGACATAATTCCATTTTTTATGGCTGAGTAATATTCCATTGTGTGTGTGTGTGTGTGTGTGTGTGTGTGTGTTTGTATGTATATGTATGTAGATACCATAATTCCTTTATTCATTTATTGATTGTTGGATACCTTGGCTCATTTCCACAGGCTCATACCTGTATGCAGGTATGTCTCTTCTATATTGATTTACACTTCCTCAGATATATGCCCAAGAGTGGTATGGCAGTGTCATAAGTTTATGTCTAGTTTAGTTTCTTTAGGAACTGACAACACTGATTCCCTTAGTGGTTGTATCCATTTACGTTCCCACCAACAGTGTATGAGGGTTCCTTTTTCCCTGCATCCTCACCAGCATTTGTTGTTTGTTTTCTTGATGTTCAGTTTCCATTTTCAATACAACTTTTGCTGGTGACAGCACATATAGCTATGGATAACCTGGTTTGTAGACAAGGATGTTGAGGATGCTGGTAATAGAGTCACCTAAGAGACAACATACCATAAACTCCTTAGTCATAGCCTTTTCTTCTATCCTGACTTTTTAAAAATTACAGTAGTAACTATAATATTTTCATTTGGGGAGAATTCCCTGCAAATACTATCCTGCTATAAAGTCCTTTTCTCACCAAGACCTTTGTTTTGCATTTGCTTGGAGATTTAAAAAAATTTTGTCAATTTAATGTATTTCCTTAGGAATATGATTTTTTTGGGGGGGCAAGTATCATGAGTTAAAGATCTTTAGTGGTTTTTAAATTGCTAAGAAGTTACTCCAACATTCTTTAGTGAATATTACTATTTTTCACTGATTTTTGATAATATGTATCTTAAACTACCATTTTTTTTGAACATTTATTGTGTGCTTGGCACTAGACTAAAGCCTTGCTGTGTATTTTCATTTTATTTGATAGTTGCTGTGATTAACCTCATTTTATGGCTGAAGAAATGATACAAAGAGTTTATTAGGCAAGAGTTTAACCTTGCCTAATATCACAAGGTTTGCAAGTGATCCAGCCTGGATATAGCTTACTTGGGATTCTTATATTGAATGATAAATAACTTGGGAGAAATAACTTTTGTGATGTTGAGGATTGAACCCAGGGCCTTACACATGCTGGGCAAGTGCTATACCAGTGAGCCATGTCCCCAATCCAAAGAATTATCTTTATCTCTCACTTTTCTCCTACTAGTGTTATTATTTTACTCTTAACTTTGTATATTTCGATGTGTAGTAAGGCCAGTTCTACTTTATTACCTTTTTCCCTCAAAATAACTTCAATAGTCTTTCTAAATTTACAGAATAATTTTGTCCCTTTTGCCCTCACAGTATACATTGTTATTAAAATTAACATTAAACTCATTAATTTGTGGAAAGCAGTTATACTTTTATATTCTCCCCAATAAAGAGTATACTTTGTCATTTGGTTAATTGAAGTGATTATTTTTAACTTTCTGGTTTTATGAAGATTATTCCTTGATTTATTTTTTTCTTCTACCACTTGAGCCCACTCTAAGCTCTTTTTTTTTACTTTTGTAGGCTTTGTATATTACATTTTCTAAAATACTCTGTATTTTGTTGTTGTTAATTATTTTTTGTTGCTGTTTTTACTAATGTAGCCCAGGCTGGACCAATTCATGATCCTCCTGCCTCAGCCTCCTGCACGCTGGGATTACAGGCCTGTGCCACTCTGCCTACTACTCTGTTTACTTATATGGAGAAAAGATAAGCTGAACTTAAAAGGACTGTATGAAAAGAAAGACTGTTAACTAAAAAGCAAAAGGATTGGGGTCTGGCTCAAGTGGTAGAGTGCTTGTAAGTGAAAGGCCTTGGATTCAATAATTCAATCCCAAGTGTTACCAAAAAAAAAAAAAAAATTCAGCCCAGTTCTATATTAGCTTTGGTAACTTGGAACAAATTATTTAACTTCTTGTAACTATTTCCTTATCTGTCAAATGAATTATACCTCAAATTCTATTTTCCTTTTCCTGTTGCTTTTGTATTAGGCAGACATTTGTGCTTAGATTGAGTTCAGATTCAGCATAAACTCTCAAACTGCTGGGTTGAGGCACAGTTACAAGGTTTCCTGGCTTGGAGAGCCTTCTTTGACTCCTTTTTCTTAGGGGATTTTATGTTTTATAGACTCATTGTGCTGAGATTTTGTTCATAGATTAGTAAGAAAAAAGTTTTATCAGCTAGGCATTTTTCCTTAAGGCATTTGTTTTATTTATTTTTTTAGTGGTACTGTGTTTGAGTTCAAGGCCTTGCACTGTGCAAGTGCTCTATCACTTGAGCCACACTCCAGCCTTAGGCATTTGTTTTAGACTCAGAAGTGTTCTAGGGGAAAAAGCCTTGGCTATGTTACAATTTGAGAAGTATAGCAAAGGTTACAAGCTTGAACCACAAAGATCTTGTTTGTTGAGACGTTGGTGTTAAAATATGTATTGCTAAAAGGGAATGCATTGGAATATTGAGGATGACATATGTTCTTTAAACATTGTGCACACGTAAATAACCTGATTTCTTAAGTCAGCTTCCAATGTTCATTTTATTTTTCTCAAACTGTGGAATTGTTTTTTTAAATTTAGATTCATCTGCTGCTTTCTAAAGATGTAATCCTGGTTATTTAACAAGCATCGTAATGTCTCTTAGCAGCATAGAACTAATTTTGCAAACCTTTTCTACAGAGTTTAAGATTTTGTATATGTGCATGGCATAGAAGATGAATTCTTCCTGTTCCACCATGAATGAAGAACCTGATGCTCTAACAGTAGTTAACCAGCTACGGGATCTAGCCGCAGATCCATTGAATAGAAGGGCCATCGTCCAGGATCAGGGATGTCTGCCTGGCCTTATTTTATTTCTGGACCATCCCAACCCTCCTGTTGTCCACTCGGCTTTGCTCGTAAGTTGCCTTTAGTATTTTCAGTCTCAGTGTTATAATTTTATAATTAAGGAGAATTTGCAAAGGTATTAGATGATGTGGAAAAAATTTGGAAGACAATAGAGCAAATAATAATTTTTATTTATTTTATCTGTTTGTGCAAACATACAGAAACTATGGTGTGTATGTAGTCCTTTTACATAAATGTTAGCATGCTACATGGGTTTTATTCTTTAACACAAATGGTGGCATACTGTATACACGGAATGTGGTATAACTTCTAATTTTCAGTTAATAATATGCCTATTTTGTCTTTTTTGTGATTTTATTAGCACATTATAGTTGTATAGGGGGATACATTGTGATATTTACCTATGTGTCTAAAATATATCTTATTTGGATTTACCCACTCCATCGTTCTCCCTCTTCCCTCTCTCCTCTTCTTAGAACAATTTCAACAGGTTTCATTCTTCTATTTTCATATATGGATACAAAATACATCCACCATATTCACCCTCATTCCCCCTTTCCCTGTGCCTACCCACTTCCCACTAGTACCCACCCCCAGAAAAGTTTTATTTTTCCCCATGCCCTTCATTTTGTTTTTTTTTTAAGTACATACTGATAGTCCAAGGGGGTTTTGCCTTGGTACTTCAGGTCTGTATATAGTGTACTTTGATCAAATTAACGCCCTCCCTCACTGTTACTTACTCATTCTCTATCACCAAGTTCCCTTAATATTCTACAGTTTACTGCACAGTGCATTATATTATATTCACATATAAATAGGCTCTTTCAATATTTTTAATTCGCTAACATTTATCATTCTCTCACCTCTCTTAGCCCCTTCAGAAGGACCACTAATACAATTTTGTTCTCTCTCTCACCATATATATATGTCTGTGTGTGTATATGTATCATATACACATATGATCATACATATATGTATATATGATCATATATGTTTCTATATATACATTTAATTTATAGGTCTAACTTCCACATAAGAGAAAAAACATATGACCTTTGATTTTTTTTTTTTTTTGAGCCTGGCTTAGTTCACTTAACATGAAGTTCTGCAATTCTATCCAGTTACCTGAAAACAACATAATTCAATCTCCTTTATGGCTGAATAAAACTCCATTGTGTATATATACCACATTTTCTTAATCCATTCATCAGTTGTGGGACATTGGGTTCCTTCCAAAGCTTGGCTATTGTAAATAGTGCTGCAGTAAACATGGGTGTGCAAGTGGTTCTATTGTATGTTGGAGCACATTCTTTTGGCTATATGCCTAGGAGTGGTATTGCTGGATCATATGGTAGTTCTATTTTTAGGTTTTTGAGGGACCTCCATGTTGCTTTTCATAGCAGTTGCACTAATTTACATTCCCATGAACAGTGTAGGAGTGTTCTTTTTTCCCCACATCCTTGCCAGCATTTACTTTTGTTTGTGTTGTTGATGACAGCCATTCTGACTGGGCAGAAGTGAAATCTCAGTATAGTTTTGATTTGCATTTCCTTTATAGCCAAGGATATTGAGCATTTCTTCATATGTTTATTGGCCATTTGTGCTTCCTCTTTTGAGAATTGTCTGTTCAGTTCATTTGTGCATTTATTCAGTGGGTTGTTGTAGTTTTTTGAGCTCTCTGTATATTCTGGTTATTTGTTCCTTGTCAGATGTATAGCTGGCAAAGATTTTCTCCCATTCTGTAGGCGGCCTCTTCAGTCTGGTGATTGTTTCCTTTGCATATTTTGGGCACTTTTGTTGAAAGTTAGATGGCTGTAGTTGCGTGGGTTTGTTTCAGGGTCTTCTATTGTACTCCATTAGTCTTCATGTCTGTTTTTGTGCCAGTACCATACTGTTTTTATTACTATGGCACTGTACTATATTTTGAAGTCAGGTACTGTGATACCTCCAGTGTTGCTCTTTTGGCTCAGGATTGCTTTGGCTATTCTAGGTCTTTTGTGCTTCCATATGAACTTTAAGACTGGCTTTTCTATCTTGGTGAAGAATGTTGTTGGAATTTTGATAGGGATTGCATTGAACATAGATTGCTTTTGGTAGTATAGCCATTTTCACATTATTGATTGTTAATCCATGAGCATGGGATATCCTTCCATCTTCTAATGTCTTTATTGATTTCTTTCTTTAGTGACTTGTTATTTTCATTGTATAGGTCACATTATTTGTTAACTTTATTCCTAGGTATTTAAATTTTTTGGGAAGTCATTGTGAATAGTATTGTTTTCCCGATGTCTTTTTCAGACTGTTCATTGTTTGTGTATAGAAATGCTACTGATTTCTGTGTATTGTTTTTGTATCCTGCTACTTTGCTGAAAGTGTTTATGAGCTCTAATAGTTTTTTGGTTGAGTTTTCAGGGTCTTTTGGGTATAGGATCATCTTATCTGCAAATAGGGACAGTTTGACTTCCTTCCTTCCCTATTTGAATCCCTTGAATTTCTTTCTCCTGTTTTGTTGCTCTGGCTAGGAATTTTAGCACTGTGTTGAATAAGAGTGTTGAAAGTAGACACCCTTGCTTACTTCCTGATTTTAGAGGAAATAGTTTCAGTTTTTACCATTAAGTATGTTGTCTATAAGTTTGTCATATATAGCCTTTATAATGTTGAGAAATGTGTCTTTTATTCCTCGTTTCTTCAGAGCTTTTATCATGAAAGGATGTTGAATTTTGTCAATGGCTTTTCTGCATTTATTGATATGATGTGGTTTTTGTCCTTGATTCTGTTTATGTGTTGTATTATGTTCATTTAAAAAAATTTTATTGTTGTGCTGGATAGGGGTACATTGTGGCAATTACAAAGGTTCTTACAGTGTATCATACTTGAATTCACCCTGTATTACATTTGTGGATTTGTGAATGTTGTCTCATCCTTGCATCCCTTGAAAACTTGATCTTTTTAATGTGTTGTTGGATTCTGTTAGCAAGTATTTTATTGAGGGTTTTTGAATCTATGTTCATCAAGGATATTGGCTATAACTTTCTTTTTTCGATGCGTCTTTATCTGACTTCTATATTAGGGTAATATTAGCTTCATAGAATGTGTTTGGTAGTATTCCTTCCTTTTGTACTTTATGGAATAAGGTGAGGAGGATTGGTGTTCTTTAAAAGTCTGATAGAATTCAGCTGTGAATCCATCAGGACCTGGGCTTTTCTTTGTTGGGAGATTCTTTATAAGTGTCTCAATCTCATTACTTGTTGTAGATTTGTTTAAGTTTTTAATAACCTCTTGGTTCAATTTTTGTTAGTCATATGTGTCAAGAAACATCTATTTCTTCTTCATTTTCCAGTTTGCAGGAGTATAGATTTTTAAAGTATTCCCTTATCATCTGAATTTCATTTATGTCTGCTGTAATATTACCTTTTTCATCTCTGATTTTATTAATTTGGGTCTTCTTTCTTCTTTTGGTTAATTTGGCTAGAGGTTTGTTTATTTTTTCCAAAGAATCAGCTTTTTGTTTCATTGATTCATTGTATTGTTTTTTTGGTCTCCAAATCATTGATTTCTGTCCTGATTTTTATAACCTCTTTCTGTCTATTACTTTTTGAGTTGGCTTGCTCTTGTTTTTCTAGGAGTTTGAGATGTATCATCAGATTATTTATCTGAGATCTTTCTTAATTTTCTGATGTGGGGACTCATGGCTATACACATCCCTCTTAAAACTACCTTTTCTGTGTCGCATAGATTCAGGTAACTTGTGTCCAAATTTTCATTTGATTCTAGGAATTTGTTAATTTCTTTCCTAATATCTTCAATGACCCAGTGATTGTTCAAAAGTGTGATGTTCATTCTTCATGAGTTTAATGTTTTTCCTTGCTATTAATTTCCAATTTTATTCCATTATGGTCTGTTAGGATACAGTGGTTTATTTCAATTTTTTTTTTTGTATTTGTTGAGGTTTGCATTATGATCTAAGATGTGGTCTGTTTTGGAAAAAGTTCCATGGGCTGCTGAGAAGAACGTATAATCTGCTGTCATAGGATGAAGTAGTCTATAAATGTCTACTAAGTCCATTTTGTCCAAGGTATTGTTTAGTTCTAGGACGTCTTTGTTGATTTTCTGCCTGGACATTCTGTCTGTTGAAGAGAGTGGGATATTGAGATCTCCCACAATCATTGAATCAAGTCCTATCTGTTCCTTTAAGCTCAGAAGTATTTGTTTTATGAATATGGGGGCTTCGATGTTCAGTGCATATATATTTAGAATTGTCATATCTTCTTGCTGGATAGTTCCCTTTATTAGTATGTGGTGACCTTCTTTATTTCTTCTGACTGATATTTGCATAAAATCTGCTTTGTCTGATAGAAGAATAGCTATTCCTGCTTGCTTTCAGTTTCTGTATGCCTGGTAAATCTTTTTCCAACCTCTTAGTTTGTGTGTGTCTTTGTTGTGAGGTAGACAACAGGTTGTTGGATCTTGCTTTTTGAGCCAATCTGACAATCTATGTCTTTTGATAGGAGAGTTAAGTCTATTTATATTTAGAGTTATGATTGAGAAGTGTTTCCTGATTCTTGTGTTTCTATTGCCTTTTCTTTAGATTGAGTCTCCTGTTGATTGTTCTTTACTTTTGGCTTTGTTCAGCTTGGACTTGTTCTGGTTTTCTGAGTTGATGCTTGTTGTTTTCCTAGCTCTTATAGGTTCATCAGTTCCCCTTGAGTTTTATTCCTTTCTAGCCTCTTGTATTTGTGATTGTTTTTTGTTCTGTTCTATGTGTATTATTCCCTCAAGTGTTCTTTATAATTCAGGCTTGGTGAACATGAACTGCTATAGCTTGTCTTTGTGTTAGAAGGTCTTCATTTGTTCCTTGAGGTCGAAGCACAGGTGTGCTGGATAAAGTATTCGTGGTTGGCAGTTATTCTCTCTTAGAGCTTGAATTATATTGCTCCGTGTTGTCCTGGCTTTTGGGTATGTGCTAAGAGGTCTGAGGTGGTTCTTTTTGTGTGTGTGTTTATTACTGGGGTTTGAATTTAGGACCTACACTGTGAGCCACTCCACCAGC